TGGGTTAGCAGTTATACTACTCGCAAGGATTCGTATATGCTGTGCGTAAGCGTGCACATCACGCTTACCCTGCTTGAGTTTCAGGAGCTCTGAACGAGCCCTGAACTCAGCCCGTGGCGGCTCAAACGATTGTCTGAGCCGGGCCTTGAAGTCATCTAGCGACCTAAACACATTTGGGTCGCTACTCTCGAGTCTCAGGGACCAAGTTTTGGCACGCCCTGCAAAGTGGGTCTGAGCAAATGTGAGTTTCATTTGCTCATCTTCGACGCGACGAGCCCTTAGGGCTCTGTCGAGTTCGACAAACCACAGTAACAGGGAGTCCTCCGGGACTACACTGTACTTGGAGATGTCAACTTTCATGACTTCGGGACGACGCTCATGCGCCGTCCCGCCCACAGCAGCATGGAATTGCTGCTGTTTCAACAGCTCCGTCTGTTGAGCACCGAGTTCTCTCAACTGCTCGGCCTGTTGAGAGCCTTGCTGGTGAAGCAAGGCTACTTTCTCCCTCTCGAGAGCAAGTTCATTCTGAATGAACTTGGCAATAGCGGCATGTTTTTGGTCTCTGTCTAGAGACTCCAACATGGCGCTAACGACGAGTTCGCCTACGGTAGAACTCATTCGTTCTACCGCACCCCATTCGATGTCACTCAAATGGGTAAACCCTTCACGCGTGGCGTGAAAGGTGTCTTCTTCATCCAACATGAACATGTTGGATGATGTGGTCCTTGGAAGGACGTCAAAGTGCTACCAGGTGTAACGGGCACACCCTTGCGTAACTTAACGCAAGGGTATTCGGTGCCCCGACAGACGTACACGTGGCAAGCGAGGAAGCGTAGGTAGGGTAAAAGCAGAACTGTTATATTAATATAATTAAGTCTTTAAACTACTGTCTCTCTGTTTGACTTAGTTCAACTATACTAATATAACTGGATGTATGGTGACGTCTCGTCACCACTCATTGCGCGCGTCTTGCGGCGATTGGTGGATTGATATCATCAAGATATCAACCAATGAACAGACCCTTTGGTCGACCCTTCAATATCACCACTTTGGTGATATTGTTTAAAGAATATCCAACTTCATATTCTTTATTGTCACTTTCCTTAAAGTGACAATTTCATGTAACGGGCTGCCCCGTTACACCTTCCCACAAGCTTTACTTGGCTTCCATGTAGCCGATTAACGCAATTCAACTACCAAAGAACCTAATCTTCGGTGTATTTGTCTAGGGCTAGCGAGGAGTTATGACATAGAAAAGACTACGGTTGCACGCAGGTGCAACCACTGGACAAAAAAGCACGACAAGGTCGATTTCTCTGACAATCGAGATCGCAAGAACGACATACATGCTGGAGATAGGAAAGAGTAAAGGAAGATGTCGTCGCACGCACGTGGATCTAAGCGCATACAAGTCAATCTACTCCAATAGCAAGAGCAGTAGAGGTAGATATAACAAACTGCAAGATTAATGAGGCGAATTTGACACCTCGAGGCGGATCAAGTGGTCCGAAAACCGTGTTGGGTGGATACAAGACATGATCAAGAGGATCTGCGGAAGTCGATCGACCAATCATCATTTCATCAGAATTCTCATGATACATTGCTGAGTGTAATGCTCGAGCAGCGATGTCCATATACAGGTCCTAATTGCAATCGATATAGACATCTTTCTCGACAATGAAGAAGAGCTTACACTTACTCAATCTACGGGTACACAAAAAGTCACAAGATACCGAACGGATCAGATTAACCGCTTCGTAAGTCGGCATTATGGTTTGCTTCGAGGTTCGCCGCTCGCACCAGCAATTTCGCGCTGCCGAATCCTCCACAATCACTCCGATCGGTTCATCTACGCTGACTTGGACTCGAGTCACCACCAGCATCGCGAGCTCCAGTTTTATCACACCGGTAAATCACGTCGATCTTGTATGAGAGCAATTGACAAGATCCAGGAAACAAGCCGCTTGATCGATCGGACGGCCCAAATATCGCAACGTTCATGGTGTCACGACCATCGCCACTATATCAATATCATCAAGTCGTTGCGTGTTACGGGGTGGGCCTGTTACATAACATTATTATTTACCACAATAATGAGAGCCGAGACTATCGAGTATAATGTTCTCACTACAATGTCACTAAGTTCAGTGATATTTTTGCAGTGACCCTAGGGCCTACTCGTTGGTGGACATACCATTATCCTAACATACTAATCTCTGTCAGACGAGCGCAAAGGGTGGTGAGTAGACTTCATCATACATGATTTGGTATTGATTAAGTTAAGTTGGGACAAATGATACAAGACACATTTATGAAATAACTATGCTAACACAATGTTCCTTTCTTTTACTAAGCCTAATCGTTTAGTACTAGGTCTTCCTTTAGAACACGTATAGTGTACGCCATCTAACAGGGCACTAGTTCTCCCTGCAGTCAGTGAGAGCTTGCTATGCACGATTGTCAGTGCGTATGTACCTGTGCCCCGTTACATCGCACCCACAAACTCGGCTTCGCCAGAACTCTAAACGACCGGCTCCGAGTCGAATGCAATATCCGAGTCATCAGAATACATACCCTTTAATTCAATCCATCGTCGCTTTTGTACCTTACACCCGCGATCGATGCAGAGGGTTCACTCGCTACATGTGGTGCATCACCTCGTGTACCATCATCGAATGACGTGGCAGACTGCTCAATAGCAGCAGAAGGCGAATGGTTACCTGATAATTAATCTTCAGATACTTTCTCAGTAGCTGCATATATGTGCAGCCGCGTGACTGGCAGTATAAACATCACACAGCGTGGACTAGTTCATCATGCGATGACAATCGAAAATGGTTCGGGTTAGTCATGCAGTCTCCCGTTTCCAGAGTGACATAACGTATGCCAATCTTACCCTGAGGTATCAATGATTCACTAAAGCGGCTGGTTGTTTTATAGAGGTGATGTAAAAAGGAGGGTAAGTCCGTTACATGTCGATGACACCAAAAGTGGGTCCGATAGAATATTGTCCGTAATGATCATAATCTCTCGTATCTACTATACTGATCACATATCGAAGTGGTACTAACGCCAAAGGTAATATTCGGCACTGCTCCACTCATTCGATGGCAAAGGTCATTATATATACCGACTCAACCAACAATCGCTGCTAAATGCGCACATGAGTGGTGAGCGACTAGTCACACTTAGGGCTTGTTGCGAAAAAATATGTAAGGGAAAACGAAGGTGCATTATCTGGAGGTTTGACGATATCATATGCAGTTCTATTCGTCCCTTTACTAACCGTGTTCGTTTACTTGATATACCTTCAATTCACTTAACGTGTACGTGAGGGGTCGAGGCGCATAACTACACTGGGTTCAGTGCAGGTAGCATATACTATGTCAGCACACGCGTCGGTGCTTCATTACAGTTTTACTGTTGTGCAAGGCACAATATTGGATGAAGTATTTCTTCATGATTTACGCAACACCAGTGATTTAAACTCGCCAAGTTTGTACATTCCACATGATAGCAGTGCAGTTCCGTCACGTTGGGCGACTTAAACAGCCGCGGCGCCAGGTCGAAGTCACGGATCTTGTCTTGGTCGCTCATGTTGGTGCTCCCGCCACTTAAACGGATTCGTTATTTGAAAATAGTCGTTTACGCTTACGGTGCCGTAAGTGCATTTCTTTGATTTGAGGTGATGGAATGGGGATTCCAATACATAGATACGTACGATTCTGACTTTTATTACATCACTAGGTAGATATGCTTCGGTAAATTTGAAATGGATAGCCAGGCCTAACCTCAACCAATTACGCGTCGATTTATATTCGAGCGGCTCACAGGAGCCTGTAGATCACCTTAATAGATTTCTAGTAAATATGTTTTACGAGTAGCTTAGTACGCTTCCTCAAACTAGTCATTGTTATCTAGTTCAGGTAGCGCTAGACCCGTTACATGTCGAGCATGGGTTCCCGCACAGATTCGAAGCGGCTGAGCAATCGAGGCTTCTGCGTGTGTCCGTTCTGATGAATTGATGTGTGCCTTACGTAGAGGTTTGAAGTTCTACCATCCAGCTCTGATGATACCTTAAAATTAGCTTGAAGCGACGGACGAAGTCGAAGCGTTTCTGCCAACTGCAAACGAGCGACTGCTTTCAGTGCTTCACATCGATCCCCGAAAGTTGCTATTTACGCCCAGCATCCTGATGCTTCATCGACCACTCTTTCTATGACATTCCTGAATGGGATCAACACGACTGCTTTCGATAGTCGCACAATACGCCTTCCATGTCCCTGGAGTCGAACGGATCGTGCACGAATTTGTAACTGAGGTTGGAGTACGTGCTGTATCATATAGCTGTACGATCTTTTGCTGGTCTTCCGAGTCTCATCTTTCTTTTTTACATGTATGTGACCGCTGCTTATGGCAATGGACAAGCGACAAATGACAAACCACAATGAGTTGTTATTGCTGGTTTCGGAGCCTTCCAGCCGAAAGCTAGCCACGACTATTTTTCGTTAAGTTGCTAATTTTGTGTATTTGGTTTCTCAAATACACAAAAATGGTAGCTTGCGGACTACTTCAATTGAGCTAAGCACAAATCGCAAAGGTGCTGCGAACGACTCGATCAGGCGTATCGCGGGGCGAGTTTTATGTCCCGCAACTGTGATTGTGCACTGACAAAAAAGCACCATATACGCGGCACCTGCAAAAGGCGAGCAATTGCTCGTTTCGTGTTTCTTCACGTCGGGTTTTTGTTTTTCGGTCCAACATTTGCTCCCGTTCACCAGTACGACAAAGTCCAAACCGGTATGACGCAGCAGCTTCGAAAACGCAAAGGGCTTTGGCAGCAGTTTCGCTCACACCACTTCGATTCAACTGCCTTCAGCTCCACTGTGTACAGATTAACTATATATATATATACATATATATATATACATATGCAGCGTCTCCGAAGTCGTGGCCCACTCTGTCGCAGCGTGTCCAGCCACAATGCCACAAGCGACAACATGACCACTCTGATCGACGAGCTCGCGCGCTTGCCGCAGACGGGCGTATCGCTCCAGTATCTGCTCGAGTTCGGTACCAGCATTACTCCGCAGAAACTGATTCAGTCGGCGCGCTTTCTACATGAAGAAATGCCCGTGCGGTACGCGCACCGGATCAAGAACTTGGAACATCTGCCCCACGGACTTAGTGACATGCCCTCGGTGCAGCAAGTGCGGGAGTGGTACGTCAACTCGGCGCAGGAGCTGCTGCAGTTTCCAAAAGTAGAGACCTATCAGGACGAATTGGCGTTCCGGTCGTTGATTGAGAGCATTAAAAACCGTCACAGTGGCACGTTGTACACGATGGCCAAAGGCGTGCACGAACTCAAGATGGACCTGTTCAAGTCCTTTTCAAAGCAGGATACGGGAGCCAAAGCACTCTCGACGCGGGAACTGGGCGAGCGGTATTTGCGGTCCCAGGAATTCGCCGACTTGTCGGATCTGCACTCGTTTCTCGATGCTTTCTACATGTCGAGGATCGGTATCCGAATGCTCATGAGTCAGCACATCGCGTTGCATGAAGAAGAAAGCGGGTGGGTAGGATGTATCTGTGAAAGCACGTCGCCCGCGGAGATTGCTCTTGCGGCGATTGATACGGCCAGGCACATGTGTCTGCGGCAGTATGGAGATGCCCCGGAAGTCGAGCTACATGGCCACACGGACTTTTCCATGCCGTTCGTGCCGAGCCACTTGCACCATATGCTGTTTGAAGTCATTAAGAACTCGATGCGGGCGGTCGTGGAATTTCACGGTGTCGACAACATCATGCCTCCGATCAAAATTGTGATTGCCGATGGAGAAGACAATGAAGACGTGTCAATCAAGATTTCGGACGAAGGCGGGGGTATCCCACGCTCGTCGGTCTCGAGGATCTGGTCGTATCTCTACACGACAGCAGACTCGGAAGCGTTTGAGAGATTGGAGGCGCCCAATGATTTCGGTGGCGACTCTCCGCTTGCTGGACTGGGATACGGGTTGCCAATCAGTCGTCTGTTTGCACGCTACTTTGGTGGCGACCTTCAGGTGATCTCGATGGAGGGGTATGGTACTGATGCATACTTGCATCTGAAACGTGTTGGCGACGCATCCGAGCCGCTCCCGTGAGGACCAACAGCTACCACGTTCTGTGACATCGCACGATCGTTGTGCGGCTCATTAGTCATGGCCGCTAGTACGTTGCTTGCTGGTGACCCAGCCAGTAGACGCTTCAGCAGGAAAAACAAAACGAAGCCAGTTGACAGTGGCGTGAAGCGCAACGAAGCATCATAACTGTTCATTGACCGAAGTCTATGGAGTTGTCGTTTAACAGGTCGTAATCGCAGCCTCAATGTTGCACATTGCTATCTCATCTTTGTGACCAAACGGCTCAGCGCCCACGACACGTACCGCTCACAGCATCGGTCTATCCCCGATCGATGCTGGAAATGGCATTTGTAACACCAGAATCGACCTCACGCCAATCTTCACGAGAGGTACTTCCGACAAAACAACTACATGAACCCTGGAAGTAGGATACCGTATCCTGTGCTATCGCTTTCTGCGGAAAGATGCCACGGGTTCCGAGCTGCAAGAAGAACCAACCGGCTTGTTCATTCATAAAGCTGCTCAGAACGGTTTGCACGATAGGTGGACCTGATCGAACCGGCTCGAGGAGTGACCGACCGGATCTAGAGACTGGTTCGTACAATATGCTACAGCATTCTATGACCAAAGAACGCAATCGTTGCCCACAGAAGACGTAGACAGCAGCCACATGGAGCTTTACCTGAAGACCAATGTACAACATTCCAAAAGAGAGACGCCTCGTGTCGAAAGCTGGTAACAACGCTGGAAGCGTACGCACATGAAGGAAAGGCATTAAATGCTTTTCTTTCTTGGCGTTCTTCACGGCCCTATACATGGTTCTGTTTGGCGTGCATGTCATATCGGTAGAAGCGTCAATTACATTCGCGTTCACGTCCAGGCATGAAATGTGTCGTCGAATTCCGGTCGTACATACACACTCAGAATCCTCATCGAGCACGGCTTTTGCTTCAGCTGCCAAGTCCTGACTTGCTTCATAGCCGAGCTGATAGGTATCGCTACGTACCTTTCGTTCACGTTTGATGCAGACGCGATGTCCCGCCTCGTTCGTCTGTCTTATTGAAACGTCGAGTGTACCAGCTATCATGGAAGCGACACATGCAGCACAGTACGATGTCATCAGTCCTTGTTACGACTTTGAGCATACCAAGTCGCTCGTGGTCCAAAGCGAAGCTGTCCGATACGGACTGCGACGTGTCACGACCAGCGCAGAAAGTGAAAGCCCCAACTGCCACGAGTGTATTGATCGACCTATCGAATGGCTGTAGCGTGCAATGTCGTCACGCCCCAATACACGCTCCCTGATCGAGACACCACACCGCATTGAAGCTCGAGTTCACGAGTCGCGGATGATGACGTTGTTCTTGAGCAGACTCATGCGCAACAGCAGATTGCGCGACTCGGCAGCATACTTGCGGCCCACTTCAAACGCACGTTTGTACGTAACAGTGCGGTGGTTCGGCTGGTACGCATGCAACACCTAACGAGAAGCAGAGTGCAGACAAGATTGAGATGAGCAAAGGAGTCGGACGTTACAGGCAACAGCAATCGCCATAGACACCTTTTGGTACGAGTCCATTCGCGCATGCAGACGCTCGGCAGCAATCAACTCGCACAGCTCTTTTTCAAGGTCCGCTGCTGCTGTGTTGAACGTGCGAGCCATCTGGTGCAAATCCACGGACAGGTACGGGTAAAAGTACTGAATGATTCCGCGGCTCCGAATCTCCTTGCACAGCTTATCCACGTGCTCACACAGATACATGTCGAGCTTGAGCTCAGGCTACCAGCAGCACCGGACAAGCACAACGTCAGTCCAAACGCAGCAGTCGCAATCGCCACGTCAAGAGGCCAGCACACCTTTCTTCGCTCCAGCGTCTGAAGACACAACGCATAGTTGCTTGAGTTGAAGTCCGTGATGAGCTCGCGCAGCCAAGGCAGCAGCTCTAAGAATGCTTTGAACGACGAGTTGTTGATCACTTTCTCCTTCAGCTCTTTGCGCTCAAAAGACGCCAGAGCGCAAACCCCACCGTACAGTGCAATGTCCTCTGCGTGCAGCACTTCGTTGTAACTTGCACCAATCTCAGCACTGCACTCGATAAACTTGGAAGCCGCAGCATGGTAGTTCTTTTCGTGCAGAGCGACAAGCCCAAAAGCCGACGCGACCTTCGACTTCAACCTGAAAAAACGCACATACCACCACTGGACACTCAGCACTAGCTCCACAAGCCACGTATGAATCACATAGTGCTCTCACACAGCGTCGCTCTGGGACGAGCTCACTTGCTCCAGTTTGGTCAAGTAATTGGTCACGTGTCCGAAATTGCGCATGTGCAGCGCCACTTTGCTCACGTTCAGACACATTTCAACAATGTGCTTGTCGGTCGTACAGTAATCCCGCGCTTGAGCGAAACTCTTGAGCGCAGACGGAAGATCGCCCAGCTCAAAGTAGAACGCACCCAAGTCGTTGTGCCCCATCTATGTATGCACCAGCACCACAACCAGCCCGTCCATAACACAAATCAGTACACTCGCTGAGTACCCATCCAGCTCGTCCCTTAAGTCAGTACCCGGATGCTCTCCTTGATCATCGTCGACTTGTACGAGTTGAGCTCCTGTTCCAGTCGCTCGTGCTGCTTTGCGGCATTGTGCCGAACACTGTCAATGAACATGGCTTCGTCCTGCGCTTTGTCCCCCAACATGTCGGCGTACAGCCCCATGTTGAGTCCTCCTTTGAGCTCTCGGAGCAGCGCCGTCTTTGCTTCCGACTGCAACGCTGGACACGTCTGGACGAGGAACAAGAGCCTTTCGGTGCGGTTGCGACCGCTGTACTTGGCAGCGTACGCCTCCACGTCAACCGCTTCGAGCGTCGCCATCATCGGGTAAAGCCGAGCGACTGCAGAGCCCAATCTTTGGAGAGAGAACGGGACACAATACGGCTATACACAATCACGTTTTAGCGTAAAATGGCCGTTTTGGGCAAGTAAAACCAGCGTAATTGCGAATCAAACCGATGACACGACGATTACTTTTGTGCATCGCGTAGTCCATGCAAAAGCACAAACGCCGCTTTGCTCTGTCTTTTGTGTACCCGCAGGACTAAAAATAGGACCGCATCGACGCTCGAGCCACGACGAAGCCGTGCGGGATCGTTCAAATCCACGTTTTGTACAAAGCGGTTTTCCTCCGTCCCATGCCGGGCACACCGATTCGCGTCCTTCTCAACCATTGGACGTCATGGCCTCTCCGCTCGTGCGCGCGCTTTATCGGTATTGCAGTACACGTGTCGCCTGCCCCTGTGTGGATGCCATGCGACTCTCTAAATTAATACGCACCCACCTCGTGCGTCCAGAGCGCTTCTGCGGTCGACACAGACGCTGCAGCGCGACCTCGAGGCTGGCCAGACACTGTTCGACGCCGTCCGCGCGAGCGCCGTGCCCTCGTACGCCGGTATCAAGAGCGACTGGCACCGCGAGCGCGCGTTCGTGCGTCGCTTCGAGGACGCGGCAGTGCTCAGGCGACGCGACCGGCGCGACAGACTGTTTGCGACCATTGTACGCGCTGAGTTCGCAGCGCCCGTGGAGATCGAGCACCGGACAGCGCTGGACGCTCGGGTCGATGCTGCTTTTGCCGCGCTGAGGCGCGTGGACGACCACAACGCTTTGATCCGAGCGCTTGCGGCCCGCGGCGCCTTCCAGTCGAAGGTGGGGCGGTATATCAATTATGAGAGTCGTCTGTGATGCGCGACTGACTGGATGGTCTGTTGATGGATATATGAAATGGCTACATTTGTGGATTGGCTACATTGGGTGTTGTTGCTGCTATTGATGTGGCAGGAACGGACCGATGCCGTCAAGTTCCGGATTGGAGATGTGGTGCAAGTGGAAGGCGAGAAACGGGGCGTGATCTTCGCGTGGCACGTGGTAGCCGCTGATACGTTGGCAGCAGATGCAGGAGCTCGAGTTGTGTACGACGTGTTACCGCACAGTCCCGGTTCCAGGTTGGTTGAGTCCGTGTTCCTGTGCTTGAGCACGAGCTGAAGGGAGAAAAGCTTGTCGTAACTGCTGTCCGTCGCTGCTTTCGTCGTTACAGCTTTGCTACGAAACTGTATCACGTACCACAAGATAAAGTCCGACGGGACGGAACACTGAAGGTATCGACAAGGGTTGTCGTGAGTTTGTTGCATGTATATCACATCGTTTGATGCATTTTTGTTTGCTCATGATGGTACAGGCGGTGCAGCATCCGTCACTGTTGCTGTACTTTGACGGTTTCGATGGCACTCGTCACATCATGTCGAGAGCGCTGGCAGCTAGGTATCCACGTGACGTCGCTGGAAACCCCAAGGACTCCGATGTAGTTGTCGCTGTTCCGTCGATCATCCAGCTTCAATCTGCCGATGAAGACGAACTGCTCACGTACTTGCGTTGTGACGACAGCACCATTGTTCAGTTTGCAATCGCCAGCTTAGAAGGCATATGGCTCGGCGAAGGTGGACCGAATGCACAAGGTGAAGTGCAGCGCGCGGTGGAGCTTGCAGGGCAGAAGAAGTGGGATCAAGCCCGCGAGATACTTCACGAAGTAGTGCACGGTCATTCGGAATACGCGTATGCATGGAGCAAACTTGCCATGGTGGAGTATCAAAGCGGTGCGTTCGGCTCGAACCTGTCGTACCCTTTCGTGCTGCGAGATCTCATGTGCGGTTGCTATCACACTTGTGTAGGCAACTTTGGCAAGGCGCTGGGTCACTACGAAACTGCGGTCAAGCTGAAGCCGCAGCTGGTTGAGGCTCTCATTGGCCTCGGTACCTGTGCTACAAGACTCCGGCGGTGGACCCTAGTGCACCACGCCGCAGTACAACTGCTCAAGGTGCAGCCAAGGAACGATACCGCCCGGATGCTGATCGAACAAGCTGTGTGTGCTACGCTGTAGGGGAAGAAGAAGCATCATGAAAGGCAGCTAGCAGAGCGACTAGACGATGTATTTTTTGTTCACGGAATCTCGACGCAGCGGTCTCTAGATGAGCTAAGTATTTTGCTTGCACGCAGCCGAAGCTACGTGCGCCATTTTCGCCGCAAATTGTCCTGCCTCCTTGCGGAATGATGCCGCGGGCGCACGAGCTGGATCGATACTGTGCCGCGTGCGCAGGAACTTCCAATGGCTCGTTGCATGCGACGATGCGCCACTTCGGTGCATTCCATCTCGAGCTCATCACACGTCGCGACAGAAAACAGTGCCCTGCAGCAGCTTGTGCACAAGCGCTTCGCAAACAATACGAGTGTCGACGGTGCTGTGGGCTGGCAGCGAGCAATCGCAGATCCACGTCAACATGCAGCTTCACGCTCAAAACATATACCGAGATACCGACCACAACATGTCGGCGTCCTTGATCCGAAACTCCTCCTCCTCCAGCGCCAACGTAGGCTCCTCACTCTCTGCTATGGCATTCATACGTCGCTTGGCAGCACTTCCGTCCTCCTCTTGCAAATTCATGACAACTTCACTCAGCGGTGTCGCCCATACAATGGGTTCAGCCTTGTCAAACGTCTCTTCGGAAGCTGACTGCGCCTGCTGCTTCAACGTCGGCAGCCGAGAGGGCGTGACCATGCCAAGGGGCGAAGAAGGTGGCGATATGACCGAGTTGCACGTGAAAAAGCGAATGATACGCTCCACGAGGCCACAGTCCCGTTTCGCCTGTCGGCGCAGCTCGGCAATCTCCGATCGTCGAGCCTGCAACACCAGCTCCAGTTCCTCCACACGCTTTCGCTGCTGCTTGGCTTCAATCTTCACTTCGTGGTGCGACACCTGCAGCTGCTTGAGCTGCAGCTTCACGGTTCTCGCTTCTTCCTGAGCTTTGCTCATCTGGCCTGACACGGCCGTCAGGCTCTGCACCAAACTTGCATTGTCCTTTTCCAACCGGTCCACGTGAATCCGACGCAGCTGCCGATTGAACAGACAAAAGACTCGAGTCTTCAGGTACGCAGCATGCCAGCGGCTCCGAGCGAGAGCTTTTTTCTTGAGTTTCAAGAAACGTGTCTTTGCAATCATCGCACGGACTTGCGACTGCACAAGAAGTGCACTCCGCGTGCGCCGCACACGTTCGTAGAGCCAAAGGAAGCCGCGTTTGGCCATGTGCTGGGCAGTGATCTTCTTCCAGCGCTTTTGCAAGTAAATGACGCGCTGCAGTGGACCCAGCCACTTCAACAGCCAGCGCTGCTGGACAGGGAGGTAACTCTTGGCCAGCAACTTGTCGAGCAACACCATCTTGTCCTCTGGCCGGTCCTGGTACGCTCGCATGATCTGTGCTTGGCGTGACATCCGAGTCCAGAACTTGTTGATCCGTCGATGCACGCGGATCCTGCGCACACGCTTCCGAGCGAGATGCTGTCGCACCAGGCACTGGATCATCGTGGCGCGGCGACGGTACCGGACTTCCTGGAAAACGCGCTTGAACGCGTTAAAGGCGAAGACAGCAGTAGTCAAGCTGATCCAGCGCTTTTTGCGCAGGTAGAGCAACAACTGCTTGCCCAAGTTTTCCGTCGACACTGGAGCTGGAGTCAGGAGCTTGTCCAGTAGGTCGATCTTTCCCGTGCAGAAGAACAGACGAGTGTCTCCCAACCGGTAAGCAGCAGGAGGGAAGTCATAGGCCCACAGAATCGCTTGCGTGAAGAGCTTGTCGTTCGAGTCGAACTGGCAGAAGACTTCGTGCGGCAGCAAGTTGCGGTACACGTCAACAACTTCAGCGTACAGAATGCGGGTAGGCAGGCCGACGCGCAGCACTTCGCACGCTTGCACGGTACCCGAACATCGCAGCTGCTCGACGACAAACGGTCGATCGAACACGCCGGTCTGCATCAGGGTGTTCGGCTTGATGCAACGCACAAAGCTGCAGCTCGTCCCTTCTAGCTCGGTCGTCAGGCCCTTCATCTGCGTCGAAAACAGGTTCGATGTGCTGCCTCCCTTAAGACGCTTGGAAGATGCCGAGCTGCTTCGTAGAGGTGATAGCTCCGTGGACTTTGTAGACGTGATCGATCCCGAGCGCGCGCGGTTGCTGTTGTGCGTGTTGCCAGTCAAGTCCTGCAGCACACGTGATGATGAACTCTTCAAGAGCTCCTCGAACTGATCCGACACAATGTTGTTGTTCTTGTCGACGAACGAGCTGATTGTGTACGATACTGTGCCTGCGTAGTGGCGGATGAGGAACGTGTCTCGGACGTCCTTCGGATGTGGTGTCGGAAAACACGGGTGACGCTTGAACAGCGTGTGCAGGCGCTCGTTCAGCTGGCGGTCGGAAGGCATGGGAAGCCGCGACACATTGTCAATCGTTGCGAATAGGCCGCCGTGGCGACTAGCCATCAAATTCAGACACTCGCGGTTGTCCGAGTAGGCCACGAGGTCACCACTGGGTGCAGCTTGCCTCGCCAAAAAGCCGACTCCGTTGTCTGCATCTTTCGCTGCAGGCACTTGACCGGCGAGAGGGAACGGAAACAACAGCGACTGGTTCGTCGGGTGGTAGATGTGCTCGCTCGTGTACAGTTCCTGCTCCGCCTCAAAGATGCAGGTATTGAACAGACTCTGCAGCGTCTCGTTGGCATAGTTGATGAGCAACTGCTCGAACGAGTTTCGGTTCTTCGGTTCAAAGTCCTCGAAACCAAAGATGTCGAGCACGCCAATGTACGGCACCACGTCACTTCGAAACGAGTCGTAGTCCAGCGCCGCAGCACATTTCCACATGAGCCACGTGAAAGTGTGCTCGTAGATCGTCTTGGCAATCGTGTCACGAGAATAAACGGCGTTCCGAACGTCGCGCTTGATAAAATAAATCGAGTTGCGTCGGGATCCACGCGTCATGATGCGCTTCAACAAGATGCTGTCCGTGAGCTGCTCCGAAGAAACGCCCAAGAGCTCTGAAGCGTGACGCACCGCCTCTTGCGACTCGACATCGTTCTGGCGGATGCACGCAGTCTCTCCTTCTTCCGTGTCCTCCTGACTGATGGTGATGTTGCCCATATGCAGCAAACCCGCTACGAGACGAAAGATCGCGTGCTGCGTGCTCTCACGAATGCCAATGAACTGCAACGCGCTTTTCAGGTTCTGAAAGTTCTCGGCGTCATCAATGAGGTCCGAGCGCAAACAACCCGACTGGTTCAGGTACGCGTAGGCCTCTGGCTGCTTTGGTTTCAAGTGGAAAGTCTTTTCGAGACACGCCGTGTCGTCCGAATGCAGGAGTTCGTAAAAGACGTGGAAGTTCCGCTCCCCCTGTGGCTGGAACACCAGTCGACTCTTCTCGAGCAAATACGTGTCGATACTGGCCCCCGAGAGCTCGTGCGTCTCGTTGGCAAACTGCAGCCTCATGTACTTGCCAAATCGACTCGAGTTGTGGTTGCGGTGCGTCTTGGCATTGCCAAACGACTCCAAGATCGGAATCGTCTCCATCAGTCTCTCGCCCACTGCAACGGGGGACAACTTGCCCTTGCCGCTTGACTGCGGATACGACATGGCAAGTGTCGACGAGCGAGGTGGGCCCATGCAGCCGATCACGGTTCGGCTGGCGGCTGTCAACTCCGGTTCCGGCTCCATGTCTTCATCGGAAGTGCACGACATGGACGACGACAGCGCTGGACTGTGTACGGCTCGCATGGTCAAAAAGTCCAGAATGATCTTGGACGTCTCGGTCTTGCCAGACCCGCTTTCTCCACTGATGATGATGCTCTGGTTCTGCATGACTGCCCGCACGGCACAGAGCTGGCGGTACGCGTTCTCCGCCACGTTGTACGGATGCGGCGGACATTTGTCCAGCGGCTGACCCACAAACAACATCTTGTCGGGCTCGGACAAGTGCCGCAGCGGGTTCACTGCAATCAGCACGTTGGCCATGAACGTGTACGGCCGCTGGTTCTGCAGCGCCGAGCGGTCTTCCAAGTTCTTGGCCAGGGCCGCTTCGTGCAAGTGGCGGAGCGACGTCATGTCGGCGGCGGTGCTGAACAGCGGATTGGCCGCCAAGAGAAGCGACTGGCTCAGGTCCACGAGCTGCTCCACCTCGGGCAGCGCTTCGCTGGGACACAGGCGCTCCCCTGTGGCTTCATCAATGAGGCAAAACGTTGCCGTCTGCTGCTTTCGGTCAAAGGACGAGACGTGGCCGAGTGCCCAGCCGTACGGCCCCTCTTGTTTCCAGTAGAGCTCGCCCACTCGGAGCTGCACGGCAGGAGGCGCCTCACTAGTCTCAGGTGCAGACGCTGCGAGGGCTTTCGACTGTCGCGGCGTCGCGCAGTCCCCGCCGCTAGTAAATGCCATCTATGGGTCTGTCTCTATGTATCGCTCAATGTATGTGTGAGTATGTGTGCGAGTAAACGAGTGCGTTTACTCCTATGGCTCGTGAGGGGCCCAAACTGGCTGGAAATCAACTCGCGCGGCGTCGTGTGCTCTCGACAAAGCAAAAGGGAAAGTGATTGAGGTGTCGCGTTGTAGAGCCAACACCAACAGCGAGGAGGAGGAGGGTCGACGTCAGACCCGACGGCCCCACGAGCACTTGGGTTCACTATGGACGCGGCTTCGAGAGAGGGAAAAACGGGCCACCCGACCGTCGCTCGACACGAGCGAAACGTCGCTAGTGATATCAAAAATATCTCGCGAAAGTTGGGAGGGCGTGCAGAAACCGAGCCACGGCGTCCCTTTCGGACGTATACACGGCACACGGTACCAGTAAAAGCCCCGCCCGCAGAAAAGACGCGGCCGACCGACCACACGCGTCTCCGTTACCTTTGCGGGAACCGCTCGGTTTTATCTTCTTGATGCGAAGAAAAGGAGTCGGTCGAGAGAGTCAGTTCTGCCACTGGCTTTGTGGATGATTTGCTCCATGTTGAAGACAGGAGGTGGTGCCTTGTTGATGGTAGGATCGGTTTGAGGTGCTTGTGACCAGGTACTTACCGTTTTGTTCTCTGGGTGGAACTAGTGCCACCAGCACGATCGTGAGCCTGTCCAGCGTGCCACGGAGACGCACGCACACTCATTTGGACCTTTGTCTCAGGTCGGGAGACGACTGTACGCTACGCACAGGCGCTCGAGAGCAACGGTTACGACAACGACTGACGTCTAGATGCTGCTGCTACTGACGATGGGCTGAGTGGGAGGCGTCTTTTGACGCCTCACCTTCGTGCTGGCCTTACTCGTTGTATAGCAGATACGGGTGTAGGTAGCAATGGGTTGCATGCTCAGGAGGCGAGCCTTTCGATTCCGAGCACCATTCGAGCATGCTTTGACGACTCGCCTGTTGCAGTGGCACGTACCGATGAGAAGCAAGCGATGAGGCCGGATCGACCGCGAAGCAGGCAACGACATAGATGGAGACGCGGTTGCCATTGTGGCCGCGTAGTGTCGTCGATTCCGCCGTATCGTGTCTACGTGCAAGACGATGCAGCGTCATTGCCTACAGCCACAGCCTCGAGCCCATACTTTTTGTCCTGAGGAATACGCGCGCGTCCATTGATTTGTAGGAGCATTGCCAGACGATCTCCTTGGGATGCTTTGGAACCGCAACTACAAGATTCGTCGCAGCCAACGTGCTCGCAGTTGACGTGCCAATGAGATCCGGTCGCTACCAGTGCGGATGCAAAGTCCTACTGGTCAGATGTGCGACCGTGGAATCTCAGTTCATTGCTGCGCCACTGCGACCTTCGCGACACGGTTTCCACTGCTACAACATCTGATATCACGTCGTACGCGTGGCGCTCGTGGTGATGGTAATCACGACACCGTGGCTCTTTTTGCTGCATGTCCAGAGCCTCTTCCAACATATGCCCACCCAAAGTTGTAAGATGCCGACGTGTCGCACAATGAGCCATTTCCGACCTCATTCATGGCCGGTTGGCTCACAAGTCATTTTTGCGTGAGTTAGGATACCGGCCACAAGATTCTTGTCACATTCCGAGCAGAGATCGCCATGAGCCACAAAATCGTGGATCCAGCATGCTGTGAGACTCCTTTACGGAAGATCCATGTCTCTTCCTACCGGCTTGGTTGCTGGGTTCAGACCGAAAGGATAATGGAGTGCGTAAGTCACTGAGACTGAGCTCGCAAGTCGTGTGCGGGCGTACCCATGACATGCTATGATTCACCCACGCTCTTTCTAGCGGTATGACCCAGTGGTATTTTGTGCAGAAGATGCTTTTTGCTGACGATACGAACTCTTCTCACTGAGACAAAGATTTGCGTGACGATTGCCTGCACGACCGCCATCATGAAACCAGTAATCGTCATCATTCGTGTCAAACGCATGTCCAAACAACCATGACTTATTGCAACGGGCAGATCGAGCATTCGACTTAGACTGATATGCGATCGTAAAAGTTCGTGAATGATCCTTTCTAGTGCTGTTGTCTACCGCAGAAGTGGATTAGTGACCAGTTCACGTCAAAGCCACGTTCGCTACGCATGGCAAAGACCGTTTGACTTCTTTTAGGCATACCGTGATGACTGATCTCAGTAGTCCAGTCATCGCTACGTTTTGGACGAAGGTCACCACAACAATAGCATTCTGTGCGCTTTTGATGGTATCGTTAGCATTCGGAAGAATATACGCTGCAAACACTCGATCGAATATACTCACGGACGTTAGGTACGCCATATTCTACCGCTGCCGTTGTTTCGTCTTATTGCTGTCAAAAGGCTGCTTTGGTCGATAACACGCGTCGCAGGAAGCAGCGCCGATGGCAGCGCATATCAAATTCGAATGCCGTCTTGCCGGTCTCACTAGTGCTCATCGTCGTGCTCATCGCATCTATGAGTTGTGCCAGTTTAGCAAAAGTTCTTCGATTCGTTGACACCCAATCTATCGACTGTATCGTCTACACGATCGAACAGTTCGCTCAGCAGGATACCTTAATAGCCGACGCAACGTAATTCGTGTAATTTCTGTTCGTGTTCGGATCCACGCTTGGTCTCCCTCACTCGTGATCAAGGTTGAGGTAAGCCAAACAGGAGTCTGTCCCTCTCATCACAATGCGTTTCCACCGCACAGGTTCGCCCATCTGTTTCGATGCGAACGGCAGCCTCTTAGACACCTGATACACCATGACCCCGGCCATCTCGACCAGTGCAGCCATGTGTGTCGTGATGACGTCAATCCCTGTATCACGAGACAAAGCGCAATGGGCTCTGCCCGATGTAATTGCCAATACGTCCACAAACGTCTAGCCATGTGGACACTACTAATTTGACGCAGAGGTGATGGTTGAGTCACAAGCACGAGCTGTAGGTACATAGTGGAATCAAATCAGTACTTTATTTTCACTGTCCCGTGATGCAACATTGGGGTCCTGTGTCACAGGGTGAGCCCGTCGCACGACCTTTGCAATTGTGTGAATGTCACTTGGAAGATCATCTTCGCAGACAATGATACAAAATTGTCTTTGCGGATAATATCCAACAAGATTACATCAGAGAACGTAACATTCAGCAGCAGTCGACAACACGTTGCGAAGTGGCTGATGTAGGCCATCATGTCATCCAACCCAGCCACTGCCAATGACAGACGTGCCCAGTGAGTGGCGACCTGATCGTCATTATACATTTTGTAATTAGATCTGATTCTAGTAGATCAACAACGTAGTATATGCAAATCGTGACCACTAGACAAATTTAGTCTTGCACGTAGCAACATCTTGTGTTCAAATGTGCGCGATTCTTACGCAAAAATTAGACGTGAAACTTTCAGTGTACGTGTCTTCACTTTTGCATTTGAAATGGCTGATAATGAAGCTAGGCCTTTACAAAGCTGTACTCGCACTACGCAAGCACACGCCTTCGGTAACATATAAGGAGCGATTGGACGGTCTCCTCTCACGTAAATCGATGCTTGGATACGCCATTTAGCGGCGTGTTCCTTATAGCTAGCATGTTGCCGTACGGCAGAATCCTTGCTCCGAAGTAAGATGTTCTCTCGTTGCGTTGCAGAAGCAAGTTCCCGTCTTCTTGCGCGCCCTTGTCGAGTAGGCCGTAAGTGTAAGCTGGTATATACATTAATGGAATTCAAGATAGTACACATATCAGGAAGTGATCGAAGTTTGGCAAAATGCACAGTAAATATATTTAGATCCTTCGTTCACCTCCCGTTGCTACTCTAAGCCTACTAGATTCTCTCTGACTTTACATTAGTAGTCGTCTCGTCGCGCAGTACTGTTAGTCTAGCCGTACGTTTCCAACTCCGATACTGTGCATATAACAAACACATAAACGTACTAAACATAGGAACGTCACTGTCTGGTATGACAGTGCTGGTGAACCCCGGCACACCAGAACCCGATGATTTTACCTTTTTATTGCAGTCACTGGATATCGAACCAGTGACTTTTCGCATAGTGCTACCACATGATACCGCTCGAGCTACGAGCTCGTTTGCGACCACTCATGCCAAGGCGAATTTCTGATAACAGTCCACTTGCCTCGGGAGAACGTGGCAAATTGACACCCAGGATATTCCGTAGATGCTGTAACTGGACTGCAGGAATTGGCTTCTGAGCAGGTCGATCTTCATGTCCTTGTTCGAGCGGTATTCCAGCACCAATGTTCCTTCAGCCACTTTTCGCGCAATAAGTGATACCGAATGCCAATGTGCTTGAAACGCTTGTAAAATTCAGGATTCCTGGCCAAAGCGATGGAACCTTGATTGTCTTCGTAAATATTCACTGCTTCATCGCTCTTCATCTCACCGAGCTTACATAAGAGTGCCTTCAGCCAAATTGCTTCCTATGAAGCTTCTTTCAAAGCCACGTACCCCGCTTCCGTAGACGATATATACATCGTGCTCTGTTTTATACATCTCCATCATACGCAATCGTTATTCAATACGAACGCGTACCCGCTTGTGCTTTATCGATCTTTCACGTCTCCAGCCTAGTCTGCATCCGAATAGCCGCACAATTTGTCATTGCATGTTGCTTGATACTCAAATTCGTATGTCCTCGTGTCTTGGATGTAACGGAAGACCCTATTGAGAGCTCGCCGATGGGTTGAATAAGGGTCTGCCGAGAATTGACTAAGCACTTCATCTGCAGCTGCAAAGTATGGGCGTGTACCCATCATAAGGCACATCAAGTAGCCGACGGCAATGCAAAACGGCACATTTGCCATCGTTTCATCATGCTTGCATTCATCCACTCACATTGACCTTGTCAGCTTAAGTCCTGGTTCTTGCGGAGTTTTGACAGTATTGATGTTTTCCATGCCAAATTTGTCAAAAATGTCCTTTGCAAATTTAAACTAAAAATGGGATTCGTGCCAGCTGAGAGATCTTAAGT